ATAGATATGGTGAAACATTTTTTCCAAGTGGTTTTACTAATCTATACTTCTACTAACAATGTGAAAAATACTTTTACCACCCATTGTATTGTCATAGTTTTAAATTTTAGCCATTCTGGTGGGTGTGTAGTGCTATCTAATTTTGGTTTTGATTTGCATTACTCTCATGACTAATGGTGTTGAATGTCTTCTCATATGCTTATTGACCATTTTGAATCTTTTTCATAAAGTGTCTGCCAAGTGTTCTGGCCATTTTCAAATTGTGTTGTCTATTCTTACTGATTTATAGAGGTTCTTCATATATATATGGAATTAGTCATTTGATGGGTATATATATATATCATTTGATGGGTATATATGTATATCACAAATACCTCCTCTCCTTCCACAGTTTGTATTTTCACTTTTTAAATAGTGTCTTTTACAACCAATACATCCTTCATTTAAAGTGTCTAGCTCATCAACTTCTTATTTTATGATTCAGATCTTTATGTTCTGCCTGAGAAATCTTCATCTAGCCCAAGCCCATGAACATATTCTGCTGTTTTTCTTCTAGAAACGGTTGGTTTTTTTGTCACACAATAGTTTAGGTTTATCACTAAATAGTTTTGTTTAGAACGTGTTTATAATGTGAAGTAGGAAATTAAGGCTTATTTTATTCTCTCAAAATGTTGTACTGTTGTTTATTAAAAAGACCACCCTCGCTTGACTGAATTTACCTGACTTATTTTGTAAATTGCTAGTGTAAGTCTTCCAATTTAGTTTATATTCTTCAATAATTGACTTGACTTTTCAAGTTCCTTTGCATTTACAAATATAATATTTTAGAATAAATTTCCACAAAAATACTCTCTGAGATTTTAATTGGGACTTCGCTGAATCTATTAATCAATTTAAGAAGAATTGACCTCCTAACAGTATTGAGTCATTCCACATACAAACCTGGCATATCTCCTTATTTTATCCAGCAATGTTTTGTTGTATTTATTTATTTATTTTTGTTGTTGTTGTTGTTGTTGTTTTTAATGTAGTCTTCTTGCACACTTTTTTTTCAGGCTTATCCTAGGTAATGTTTGTAATACTATTGAAAATGGAATTCAGAAAATTCTATATTTCATTTGCTTGTTGCTAGAATATATTCATACACCTGATATTTTATATATTGACCACAAAGGCAATAACCTTCTAAATAGTAGCTAATAGTAATTGGATTCATTTAACTAATAATAGTTTTTAGATCTTTTTCAGTTTGTACATTCACAATCAAGTTATCCTCTGATAGTGAAGGTTTTATTTTCCAATATTAATATCAATTATTCCTGTTGTATTGTGCTAGACTTTACTTCTAGCACCATGCTGGGTAGAAGAAATGATAGACATCTTTGTCATGTTCCCAAACTTGGGTTCATTGTAGATATTTTGAAATAATTTCAGACTGACAGAAGTTACAATAATGTAAAGAATTTCTGGCTATCCTTCAATCCATTCCCAAATTTTAGCATATAACTCTTTTCTTTTTCTGTCATAGATGAGAGAAAAGTATATACTATACAAATATGCTTTTTCTGAAGCTGTAGGAGATGGAGTTTGAAAACACTCTTTTCCCTTAAGTATCTCAGTACTTTCTTAAAGGCATTCTTTTTACATACCCAAAGAACAATAAATAGATTTTGGAATTACCACTGGTAAAATAAAATTATTTAATCCATGCTCTCTATTCAGATTTTACCAATTGTTCCAATAATGGCATATACATCAAAAGAATGTACCAGATTATGTGTTGTATTACGTTTTTAAAACCCGAAACATTGGGGATCCCTGGGTGGCGCAGTGGTTTGGCGCCTGCCTTTGGCCCAGGGCGCGATCCTGGAGACCCGGGATCGAATCCCAGGTCGGGCTCCCGGTGCATGGAGCCTGCTTCTCCCCCTGCCTGCTTGTGTCTCTGCCTCTCTCTCTCTCTCTCCCCGTATGACTATCAAAAAAAAAAAATTAAAAACCTGAGACATTCAGTCTTTCCTTGTGTTTCATAACAGTGCTACTTTTGAGTACAGTTATTTTGCAGAAAGGCCCTTCATTTGGGTTTGTCTGAGATTTCCTCTGGTCAGGGGCAGAGTACACATTTTTGAGGGTCACGGAACAGAAGACTCGGCGCCCTCCCCAGCGCGTCACTTCCGGACGTAATTCTGATTGGTCGCTCAGTCAACCACGTGGTCACGGGCCTCCGCTGGCACCGCCTCTGTAGGGAAGACATTTTGCTCCTTGGATTCCTTATGCTCCGCGGCGGGCTTGTATTCTCGTGTCCTAATGCAGCTGTTGGACGCTCCCTCCTCCAGCCCCGCCGCCGCCGAGCGCACGGGGCTCCCGCCTGGCCGCAGAGCTCGCGGTGCGGCCGTATGTCTCAGGCGGGAGGATGCTCTGGTGGAGCGGCCTCTGTGGGGCCCAGCTGCCTGCGCCTGTGTCTACACTCAAAAGGCGGGAGGGAGTGGCTAACCCTGAGACGAGTCCGCTAACGCTCCGGGCCGGGTTCCCAAGTAAAAGAGGACCTCGAACAAGAGAGAGAGTCCTGTTTACAGAGAGCGGACTCGAGGCCAGGCTTTGTTTTTGAGGAGACCTCAGGTGCCAAGCGGAGAAAAACACGTAGTCGGCAGGATTCGAACCTGCGCGGGGAGACCCCAATGGATTTCTAGTCCATCGCCTTAACCACTCGGCCACGACTACATGGCCCTCGAGTGGTTACTTAAGTCCGTACTAGAAACTGCACCAGTCTAGGGAGCGGACGGGGTAAAAATGATCGCCAGTGCATAGGCAGGTCCTCTGCAGATGGTTCCGGAAAGCCCTGCGCTCCCCCGGGACGACGGGAGGGGCGTCCTCGGGCGGCGGCCACGCGCTCGGGCCGCGGGAGCGGGATCCCCAGTGTCCCCTGCCACGGTTCCAGCCCTGAGGCGCGCCGCCATGGTCCCCGGGGAGGGTTGGGGGGGCGCCGTGGCCCCCGAGAGGGGAGCGGAGTGGATGGGCGCCCCTCGTAGCTGACGGGTGTCCAGGGTGGAGGGCGCCGGGAGGGCTGCGGAGCCGCTCGGGGACCCACCGCGTCCGCTAGGCGCGCGTCCCAGGTGCCCGGAGCCCGGCCATCGTCCTCGAGGACGACTCTGGTCTGAATCTTGGCCAAAGCAGCCGCTCGTTTTCTCAGTTTCGCGAATGCTCGCATGTTTTCCCTTCCTCGTCTTGGGTTTCAGGCTGCGGGCTGAGGCTGGGGTACAGGTGTTTTCCTTGAGCCCGTCCGGTGCACCGGCTTTTGTCTACTGGGTCTCGTGTGCTAATCTAAGGGAAGAAGAGAACGACCGCAAATGGAGAAAACACGTCTCCCGAACGCAGAGGAGGAAGAGACGAGAAGGGGAGAGACATGCATTGTGTGCATTGATGGGACAGCCAGCCCTGAAGGGACAGACGGGAACTAGTTATCATCCATAATTTATACATGTCACTTACTTTTTATTTGGCGTACACTTTTTATCAAGCATGTAGTGCTGTTTTATTTTTGCTTAAGTCATTTGGAACCCCAGCTTTCATTGAGGTTAGACACCGAAGAAATATCCCGGACCTTCTGTGATTAAACAAAAACAAAAACACACGCCTCAAAACAGCAAAGAGTGATGCACTCTTTGAACTAAAATTATTAATCAACTGGCTGTTTTAGGGTACCAATGAGCAAGGTACGGACAACTGTTTTACTGACAGAAAATTTTTTTTTAATGGAGGAGCGGATCTAGGTAAAGGATGAGAATCCACCGCAAGTGGCAGGAAACAAAAACTTTGGAAACAACTCAAATGTCCATTTAATGTTGAAAGGACAAACTAAGTTTTTTTTTTTCCTCATATAATGTAATTTCACAATACAGAGTAGAAGGAATTACAAGAATACACAATCACATGGATGAAATCTCACACAGTATTGAATAGGAAAAGCCAGGCACAAAGGAATACAGACTGTAGTGCATTCTATTTTCTGAAAGTTCAAAAACAGGTGAAACTAACCTATCCTGTTAGAAATCAGAATAATAATTACCCTTGGGAGGAGTTTCTGGGATCCTGGTGATGATTTTGGTTCTCAAATTGGAGTGTTCAGTACATGGGTGTGCTGGCTTTGTGTAAATATATTGAGTTGTTCAAATACCAAGGAGTGAGATTGCTAGATCATATCATAAGAGTATGTTTAGTTTATGATAGTTCCTTTCCCTGTGTGGATGTTTTCCATTTACTCCGTGTTAGGATTTCCAAGTTCAGTGTTCCCGTTGGCCAGGCCAGCAGACGGACTAACTTGACCTTGGCCCTCACCCCAGAGCTGGGGTCCACACCTCGAAGTGCCTGGGGAACCACACACAGAAACCCTCCCCACTTCCACGGGGTCCTCCTGTGCCAGGGACACGCTGGCGACCCGGCGTCGGGCTCCACTCGACCCGCTGATGGAGGACGAAACCACTTAGTGCCCGGAGCAAAACGCCGACACCACACCTCCCAGGTTCCTCCAGCATTTAGAAAACACAGGCCTCTGGGACCCGTCTGAAAGCCCTGAAAGTCACATTACAGGTCACGAGCAGAATTTTTAAGATGACGAAGCAGTAGAGCACTCCCTAGGTTGCAGAAAGAGGAATAAAGGCAAATAATACATCGTGGAGTGCTTGTGTGTGCTCTAAGACCATCTACGAGTGTATACACGGATTGCTCGCAATCCGCTCGGTCACACAAACTTGAAAGTGCCCGCGGTTCCCCTACTGCCACTGGAGGCGTTTATAAGCCAGTGATTGGCGGGGAGACCTGCCCAATGGGAAAACTTACACGTTGGCTGAGGCCTCTGGGAAATGGGGTTCAGCGTCGTGATGCCATCTGGGAATCGTAGTTCTCCGTGTCTGCCCGGCACGGCCGAACGCTGCCCACGAGCGGGGGCGGGGTTCTCTCCGCGCGACCGGAAGTGGCTGTTGAAGCGGCAGTAGGCGTGAAAAGAGGTTGGCGCTAGGGAAGTGTAACCTCCTCAGCTCCCTTCTCTACGTCTGGTGATTGTCCCAGTGCTTCCGGACGCGGGATCCGAGTGCGCGGATCGCCCTAGAGGGAGGGAAGCCCAGGTATCACCATGGCAACCGTCAGCCTCGCGGCCGCGTGACGTCACCCTCATCGCCAGGCTGGTCGCGGCCTCTGCGGGAGGGCGCCGGGGAGTCCTCGGAGGGAGAGCCCCTCTCTTTTTTCAATGCGGGGCGGTTCCGCCCTGATCCCTTGGAAGGCTTTGTTCTTTTGTTCCGTTCTAAGAGGAAGGATCTGCACCCGGCCCCGCCCTGTCTGTCCACCTTCGAGCCTTTCCTCCCCGCAACAGGTGTGTCTTCCTCCCAGCCGGGGCGGGAGCCCGATAGTGTGCACGGAGGTAATGGGCCGGGCCTGGGCGCGCTCCCGCCAGCGTTGGGTGGGGGGTGGGGTGGGGGGGTGGGCACCGAGGGTTCCTCTGCATCTGGAGCTGAACCCGCTCCTCGTGCCCCACTCTCTTTTTGTTCAGCGGGAGTGCCTGTGCACTGGCTCTCGGCGGGCACTTCTCTTTTCCAAGGCTCTCTGAGCCACAGTGCAAAACTCTGAAGTGCGATTGTGACGCAGGCTGCTGACCCCGTGTGTCTTTCAGGGACGCCAGCCTGAGCGTGTGGAAGGGCTCCTGCTCTTTGCTGGACGGCTGAACCCCAGACCGAGGCCCCTGCTGGAAGGACGCTGCTCGGGAAACCCTCGTGTCCAGGCTCCGGAGGACCGGAATGAGCTCCTGAGATGGAAGGTAGTGGGGACCCGAGGATGAAAGAGCGGGGCGATGGGGGCAAAAGAAGATCAAATACTTGACAGCTGTTGGAGGTGGAAAGAGGGAGCCTTATCTCAAGGATAGAGAAAAACTGGATTGCATAATGGTGCGAGATCATTACTTAGGTTTACATGGAGAGACTTGCAGGAAGAGTTCATTACCCCTGGCATCGGGATTGGGAAATGAAAAGGAGCGATGATTCAGGTTGTCTGTGATCCTCACATGACTTTTATTTCTTAGATATGAAAATAATCTTGTGGTCAGAAAAAAATCTTGGTAATCGTCCCTTCAGTACAAGAAGGATAGTATCCCTGGCAGATGGCCGTTTGCTAAGCCTATGCATACTGATGGAGTGTGGCATTAAACTCTCCATTTTGGGTGCACACTATTCCCTTGGTGGCTCTTCCGCCCCCCCCCCCTTTTTAAGTTCCTTGTGTTAGGCAGAAGTGCCTATCCCTGTAACTTCTGTGTTGAATCTTAGTTCTTAGTCTCCAAAAGCAAGAGACATTACTGCCCTGCAGAATGTGAATTCAGCTGTTAAAACACCTACTCACAAATTCTTTTCTTTTCTAAGCAAAACAGCCTCAGTTCCTTTGATGGATCTTCATATGATATGTCTGGACCTCTTTTCCCAAGACTCTACTGCCTGAGAGCATTGCTTCTTAAAATGCATTGCCTGCAATTAAACATAGTTCTTTAGATGTCTTTGTGATAAATTCTGTAGACCTTTAGTACCTAAAAGTACTTCTTTGAGTTTGGTTTATACTTCTGCTGTTTAGAATCAGTTTATATTTGCTTTGAAAAAAATCATCGATATTACGTGGTAAGCCCTAGATCTTTTTTACATAAACTGTAGTGAACTAGATTTATGCCATCTTTGTGCGAGGTCATTGTTTTTTATCCTTAATATCAGGACTTCACATATATGATTGTTCAGGTTTTTGGCCATTTTCCAACCTGTCAGAATAATTTTGAATCTTCATTAATTCAGTGTTTTAGGGATCCCTGGGTGGCGCAGCGGTTTAGCGCCTGCCTTTGGCCCAGGGCGGGATCCTGGAGACCCGGGATTGAATCCTACGTCGGGCTCCCGGTGCATAGAGCCTGCTTCTCTCTCTGCCTATGTCTCTGCCTCTCTCTCTCTCTCTCTCTGTGTGTGTGTGTGTGTGTGTGACTATCATAAATAAATAAAAAATTTAAAAAAAAATCAGTGTTTTAACTCTCCAACTTGATGTCACTGGCATCTTTAATGAATATTTCTTCCTTCATGTCCTTGAACAGGTCCGAGTAAGGACAGAGCTGTGTGATATATCACTAGACTTTTCTCTGCATTGTCATTGCTTTTACATTCTTTAAGTATGGGTATGCAGCCAAGTTTGGTTTAACCTATTATCACACAGTTTCTTTTTGAATTTAATATCATTAAAAGTTTTAACATCACTTATTTATGTAGGTTTGAGCTCTACCTTATATTCTTGATTTTTTAAGAGTGCAGAGAATCTCTAACAACTTCATGTGTATCTAAAATTACCTCAAAACAAAAAGTTTAATTTAAAAAATGAACTGTCTTTCATTCCATTATCAGTAAACAATTGTAAGTTCCAAAAAAATAACAGTTCTGTTTATAATAGCACCAAAAATATGAAACAGGAATATAATTAGTATGTGTAAGATCTGTACACTAAAAGCTACAAAATATTGCTAAGAAAAAATTTTTTCCAGCTATACTGAGATATACTTGACTCCTAACATTGTGTAAGTTTAAGTTGTCCAATATGATGAGTCTTTAAGATTTTTCTCTGTGTGTCATCTGCAAACAGATAATTTTATTTCTTTCTTTCTAGTGTGGATGGCTTTTATTTCTTTTTGTTGCCTAATCATTCCAGTTAGGACTTCTAGTATTATGCTAAATAGAATAGAAAAGGTGAGAGTGGGCTACCTCCTCTTGTCGATTATCTTAGAGGGAACTCTGAGCCTTTCACCATTGAGTATGATATTAGCTGTAGGTTTGTTATATATGCTGTTAAGCTGAATTTGAAAAGTATTGGCATTAATTTTTCTAGCAATATTAGATTCACCAGTGAAACAGTTTCATACGTAGCTTGTCTTTGTTGGGAGGTGTTTAATCACTGGTTTAGTCTCCTTACTCCATATTGGTCTGTTCAAATTTTCTTTTTCTTCATGATTCAGTTTTATTAGGTTGTATGTTTCTAAGAATTTATGTTTTATAGGTTATCCACATTGTTGGCACAGTGGTTTCTTCTGATCCTTTTTGTATTTCTATAGTATGAGTTGTAATGTCTCCTTCCTTGTTCATTTCTGATTTTATTTATTTTAACTTTTTCCCCTTTTTTTCTTTAGCTAAAAGTTTTTCAATGTTGTTTGCCTTTTCAAAAAACCAACTCTTAGTTTCATTGATCTTTTCTGTTATTTTTCTGATCTATTTCATTTATCTCTGCTCTGATCTTTATTTCCTTTCTTCTGCTAACTTGGGCCTTAGTTTGTTCCTTTTCCAGGTGTAAAGCCAGGTTATTTATTTGAGATCTTTCTTTTTTTTTAATGTAGACATTAAGCACTATATAATTCCCTCTCAGAGCTGCTTTTGCTACATCCCATATGTTTGGTATTTTGTTTCCATTTTCATTTGTTTCAGGATATCTTTTGATTTAGTCTTTGACCCTTTTGGTTGTTCAGGAGTGTGTTATTTAGTGTTCACTATTTTTGAATTTTTCCAGTTTTATACTATTTTTGTTGAAATAGATGGTGGATATGATTTTAGTTTTAAATTTGCTAAGGCTAGTTTTGTGATCTATCCTGGAGAAAGCTCTTGTATCCTTGAGAAGAATGTGTATTCTGTTCTGTATTATGTGTTTTAGATCCATTTGATCTAAAGTAGGTGCAAGTCCAAGGTTTCCTTGTTAATTTTCTGTGTGGATGATCTATTCATTGCTGAAAGTGGGATACTAAAGTCTCCTATTTTTTTTTTAAAGATTTCATTTATTCATGAGAGACCCAGAGAGAGAGAGAGAGGCAGAGACACAGGCAGAGGGAGAAGCAGGCTCCATGCAGGGAGCCTGGTGTGGGACTCGATCCCGGGTCTCTAGGATCACGCCCTGGGCTGAAGGCGGCACCGAACCGCTGTGCCACCTGGGCTGCCCAGAAGTTTTCTACTATTGTTCTACATTGTTGTCTGTTTTTCCTTTGAAATCTGTTAGTATATGCTTAACAGATTTAGGAGCTTTGATGTTAGGTACATATGTATTTATAATTATTATATTCTCTGGATATATGAATTAACTCCTTTATCATTGCATAATGGCCCCTTTGTCTCTTTTCAGTTTGTGACTTTACATCTATTTTAGTTTCCCAGGAATTTCCATTTGGATGGAATATCTTTTTCCATCCATCTACTTTGAGTCTAGTGAGCTCTTAAAACTGAAGTGAGTCTCTTCTAAGGCCGCATATAGGTGGGTCTGATTTTCTTTATCCGTTCAGCCATTCTGTTCCTTTTGATTAGAGAAATTCATCCATTTGTGTTTAATTATTAGTAACTAAGGATCCACTAATGCCTTATTAGTTACTTTCTGGCTGTTTTATACTGGTTCCTTTCTTCCTCTTTTGCTGTCTTCCTATGTGAATTAATAATTTTCCAGAGAGGTATGCTCTGATTTCCTTTTCTTTATCTTTTGTGTGTATACTCTAGGTTTTGCTTTGTGGTTATCCTGGAGCTTATGTAAAACATCTAGATAAAACAGTCTGTTTCAAGCTGATAACTAACTTCAATTGCATACCAAAAAACTCTCTACCTTTTTACTGCTCCTCCCATTTTATGTCTTTGGTGTCACAATTCACATCTTTTTATATTTTGTATCTATTAATACATTATTGTAGCTATAGTTTTAATATTCTTGTCCTTTAACCATCACATAAAAATTGGCGTTGAACACACTATCATGTTACAGTATTAGGGTGTTTTGAATTTGACTATCACTTATTTTTACCAGTGTGTTTTATAATATCCTGTTTTTGTGATATTAATTAGCATCCTTTCATTTCAACTTGAAAGATGTCTTTCAGTATTTCTTGTAAACAAATGGTGACAAACTCCTTTAGGTTTTTTGTCTTTCTCTCTCCATTTCTGAAGCACAACTTTGCTGGGTAACATATTCTTGGTTGGCAGTTTTTCTCTTTTAGCACTTTTTTCTCTTCCTGCTTTTATAATTTTGTCTTTGATCGTAGATAGTTTCATCATAATATGTTTTAGAGAAGATGTTTTTCAGTGGAAATTATTTGGAGACCTCTGAGCTTCATGAACTTGGAGGTCCTAGTTTCTGCCACAACTTGGGATATTCTTAGCTACTATTTCTTTAGGTAAGCATTCTGTCCCTTTTTCCCCATTATTCTTCTGGGACTACAGTAATGGCTGGGTTGTATCTTTTAATGGTATCCTACATCGGGTTTTTTTATTCCTTTTCTTCTGTATTCTCCTGTGACTGGATAATTTCCAGTGACCTGTGTTCTGTCCCCCAGGTTCTTTCCTCTGCGTGGTCCAGTTGGCAGTAGATATCTTCCATTGCATTTTTCATTTCATTATGTTCTTTGGCTCTAGAATTTGTCATTTTGCTTTTTGTTTATGATTTCTATCTATCTGTTAAACTTCCAGTTTTGTATATTGTTTTCCTAATTTCATTTACATGTTTTTCTGTGTTTTCTTATAGCTCACTGAGCATCTTTAAAATGACTGTTTTGAATGTTTTTATTGTTTAAGTCGTAAATCTCCCTTTCTTTAGGGTTAGTTACAGGAAAATTACTGTGTTTCTATGGTAATGCCATGTGTTCTTGATCTTTCATGTTTCTTGAAGTCTGGGGTTACATCTTTGCATTTGAAGAGGCAGTTACTTCCTCCTCCTGTCTTTAGTTACTGGCTTCAGGAGAAAAGTACCTTCTTTCAACCCTGTTATGGATGCTCAGGTGTTCTCAGACCTTCTGTGGATATGTCTGCCCCACACTTTTTCTTCCCTTGTGGGGAGAATTTCTTAAAATTGCATACCTCCTCTCAGTCCTGCAGAGCGAGGCTGGGTGGTGGCAGACTCCCATTTGCTCTCCCTTGGTGGTACGAATGCTTAGGGTTTAGTGCTTTCTGCCCAGACCTGCAGAGTCAGGCTGGCAAGAGCCTGACTTGCTCTCGCTGTCATCAGGGATTTACACAGGGAGCCATCCACAGGAAGGGTGTGCAGGTGAGGCATGTAGACCATTGGGGTGCCCATAGGCTAGTTGGGGGAATGTGCGGGGGAGCATACCTAGTGGCTCTTTGGCAGGCTTCCTAATGGAGTCCATTAAGTGGCTAGTACGCTCTGTGGTCCTTTGTGCCCTCCAAGAGTATTGACTGCTGTTCCCCAGCTGCTCCCTGCCCCCTAGTTCCTGGGACACTTCAGTGTTCTGGAGGGATGAGAAGGAAGTGGGTCTTTTTGGTGGCATCCCACACAACTAGGGAAGCTGAGTGCCCAACTCTCACTTTTACTATCTGGGAGAAATAATGGGCCTGGAAGGTTTCTCTTGGCTATGAGCTTTACACCATGGGGATGGGGGCTGTGACATAAAGTGAAACTGTCTCTTACATCATCAGTGCATTCAGTCCTGGATTATTATTATTTGCTTCCACCATATGCCAAAACTTCTCTCCTGGACTCCTGGACTTCCACAGAGATACCCTCACCACAGGGATGGTCTAAATCCATGTTCTTTTACAGGGAAGGTTCTTTTACACTCTTAATCTGCCACGTTGATATCTTTATTCAATTCTTTGCCTGTTGTATCTTTTATAAATGTAAATCAGCCAGAATGATTTAAGTCCTTGCTTTTTTTTTCTTCTTGGGATTTTTTCACAATTGTATAGTTAGGATTACTTTTCATATGTCTCTGCCTTTATAATCATAACACTTGTAACATTTACCGAGCGTTTATTATTGCCGTTCACCATAACCAGCATGGTTGGTTTCTGCAGGTCTCACTATTGCTGGTTCTGTTGGTTTCTGTTACTTGAGGTCAGAAGCATCTTTATCTGAGATCTTTTTCTTGATTCTATTTTCCTAAAGTCTTGGTTACATATCTGTATATGCACAACAAATCCTTTGCTGTTAAAAATTCTAAAATCATATCTTCATTTTTTTTATCAAGGTTTGTATTACAAATCAGTTTTCCCTTACTGATCAAATTTAAGTTGAGAATAATAAATATTCTTCTTTTATTGCTTCCTCTGCTTTCTGAGAATTGGGCTTTCCTGTTAACCATTACTTTGAATAGACCTTCCCAAAAGCAAAGTTTGTTTTTGTTTATTGACGTATAAGTTACATATATTAAGTGCACAACTCTATACTGTTTGATTAATTTTTATATATTATATACCAGTGGAATCACCACCTACAATAAAATGTAGGATGTTTCTGATGCCCCAAAACTTTCTCTTGTGGTCCTGTCCGGTTATTATCCCTCCCAAGGTAACCACTGTTCTAACTACTATTACCATAGGTCAGTTTGGTCTGTTTTTTTTTTATGTAAATGGAATTATATAGTTATGTATTCTTTTATGTTTGGCTTGTTTTGCTCAGCATTATGAGGTGCATCCATGTTATTAGGTATATCAATAGTTCATTCTTTTCTGTTGTATGAAAATATTGTGGTTTATTTATCCATTCACCTGTTGAAAGACATTTGGGCTATTTTCAATTTGGGGATCTTATGAATAAATCTGCTATAAACAGTCTTTTACAAGACTTTAGGTGGTCATGAGCCTTCACTTCTGTGGTTGTATGTGGTTGTATGCACACAAGTGCTGAATTCAGAATAAGCATATGTTTAACATTAGTACATAACTGCAAAAACAGTTTTCCTATGGGTTTGATAAATTTACACCCCACAGCAATGCACAAAAGTTCCAGTTGCTCTACGTGCTTGGCAGCAGTTAGTACTGACCATGTCAATTTAATTTTTCTGGTGGGTAGGTAGTATAAGTAATATATGATATTATGATATTCAATTTCTATTAATATAAATTTTTATATTTAGAGTTTCAAAGGACCTGTGAAGACTTTTGGGAAGTAATTGTATTATTTATTCAGATGTTGTATGTAGCAGAGAAAGCTGTGGAAATACTTTGCCTGACTTAATATGGAACATACTGAGTTGAGGGATACTATACGTATCTAGGGGACAGAACTGTGAATGTCACAGTCATGCTTTACTTCCCAAGCCTACTGATGAGGTGTACTGGGGCCCTAGTCCTCAATGATCCTGCTTATTTTTTTGCATTCAGAGAAGTAAGGAAATGGCATAGTTCATACTATTTTCACATGGAAAGAGAATCTGAACTTAACGGATTGCTGGGAACAGCCACTATGGACAGGATTCATTGTGTTTCTTCTTCTCCTCCAGACCCTTCCTCTCCGGAGCCTGCCCTCCTCCAAGCGGGACACACTTTACTTGCATCAACCAGTTTTCAAGTAAGTTGGAATTCCTGAAATGCCATCTTAGTCTGCACAGTGGATTGTGAATTTTTTGCTGTGGCATATGTTCATTTATAAAAACCAATGTTGGGAATTCATTCTGGGCTCCCAACTGCTCAGTGACCTTCTTTGTACCTCTGTCTCTCCAGCATCACTAATACATGTTCACCACTTACCCTCTTGCTTGGTGTCTTGTCATACTCCAACAGTGATAAAGGGAGTGCAAAACTTAATCCTTTACTTGAATAGACTATTGACTGCTAAAAACCAGAACAGATAAATATAAAAATTAAATGAGTACTGTGAAAGATAAAGAATGCACAAATGTATAGTGTGGAGGGGTCAGGAGAGTTTCAAGGGGAATGGGATATGCACTACCTCTCCCAGGATATGGGACATTTGGATATTTAGACAAGTAATGTGGGAGAGATTGGTTGGATTCTAGCTATGGGGAAGACTGAGCAAAGTGTCACTAGAATTAACAGGTGTTACATAGGAATTAGAAAGATTGGTTTATTTTGGCAGATGGTAAACAAATGATTAAATAAGTTGAAATATGGCAGGCCTCAGTTGTCTAGATGAGAAGTTGAAGGCTTTATTCTGTAGGCCATTTCTGAACCATTAATGGTTTTTGAGGGAGAGAGGGACAGGATCTTGTTTTAGGAAAAACCAGTAACTCAGAATTTAGGCAAAAAAAGTAACCATTGGAAAAAAAAAAAGTAACCATTGTTCCAGCAGGAATGATTCACCTCAAGGCCTCCCTTCATCAGACTCCTTCTTAGACTTTTTCCCTACTTTCTGCCCCACAGTGTAGTCATCTTATCAAGGAAATGATCCCAGTTCTTCCCACTTTCAGCTCAAGCACTTCTGGTATCACTTTGTGTTTATTGAGGTATAATGTGAGAATAAGCTACATATATTTGAAGTGTATAACTTGGTAAGTATTGACATACCTTTGTATTCAGGAAGCCATCACCATAATCAAGATAGTGAATATATGCAATTAGAGAACATACTTTGTATGACTTGAATCTTACTGAATTTGAGACTTCTTTTGCCCTTATTTGGTCTACTTTGGTAAATGAGCAGTGAGGACTTGAATGTATATTTTGTTGTTGTTGGGTAGAGTATTCTAAGAATGCGTTAGTTTCCTTTTAGAAGCATCACGACTTAAAACAACACACTTACTGTCTTCCAGTTACAGAGGTCAGAAGTCCAAATGAGTTGGCAGGACTGCATTCCTCTGAAGTCTGTAGGGCAGAATCTGTTCCCTTACCTTTTCCAGCTTCTGTATTCTTGGACTTGTTGTGTCCCATTCCTCCACCTTCCCAGCCATTAGTGGCATCTGTAAATCTCTCTGTGACTCTTCTCCTATCTTCACATGGGCTCTGTGACCTTCTTGCCTCCCTCTTACAAGGACTCTTGATTACATTGGGCCTGCCCCTGTAATCTGGGATCATTATCCCATCTTCAAGTCCTCAACATGATCACATCTGCAGTGTCTCTTGTTTTAGGTAATAATTTCATAGGTTTGAAGGATTGGTATGTGGATGTCTTGGGAGGGCCACTACTCCATCTACCACAGGTATCTGTTCAGTCAAGCTGGTTGAGTGTTGTTCAGATGCTTTATATCCTTATTTTTTATTGACTTGTTTTGTCAAATGTTGTGATGGGGATATTGAAATTTATTATGTGGATTTGTGTATTTCTCCTTGCAGTTTTATCAGTTTTTCCTTCATGTCTTTGGAAGCTGCAACTAGGTGCATAAACATGTGGGATTGTTATGTCTTCTTAACCAAGTGACCTTATTTATCATTGAAAAATGAACTTTTTATTGTTTGCTTTGAAGCTTACTTTGATATTTGATTAGTGTCAGCATGGCATATCTCTTTTTCATCCTTTGGCTTTTAATTTGTGTCTTTATATTTTTTTGTAGGTGATATGGAGTTCATTGGGTTTTCCTTATTTCAGTGCAGTCTGGCAATCTGCCTTTTAATTGGGGTATTCAGACCATTTATTAATATGATTTTACATTCAATGTGATATTTATGTGTAATATGATTATTGATGTGATTAAGTATCATCTAGCTTTTTCTTTTTTGCCTTCATTCCCTTTTTCCTCCATTCTTACCTTCTTTTGGAAACTGAATGTTGCTTAGGATTCCAGTTTATTTTCTTCATTAGCTTATTAGCCATAACCCTTTGTTATTTTTTTTGTTGCTTAAGGTATACATATTTATCGCCTCTTACTTTCAAGTGATAATCCTGTTCGTGAAGACTGGAAGAACCTCATGGTAGTGCACTTTCATTTCTCTCCTCCGGGTTTGTTTCTTTTATTTTTTTTAAGATTTTATTTATTTGAGAGAGAGAGAGCACAGAGGAAGAGGGAGAAGCAGACTCCCCACTGAGCAGGGAGCCCCACGATTGCAGGATCATGGGATTATGACCTGAGCCAAAGACATGTTTAACTGACCCAGGCACCACCCAGGCGCCCCTCTCTTCCCAGGTTGTTTTTTTTTTTTTTTTTTTTTTTTAATATTTCTTATTTATTTGAGATAGAGAGAGAGAGAGAGAGAGAAGCAGGCTCCATGCTGGCAGCCTGACATGGGACTCGATCCCAGGTCTCCAGGATCACACCCTGGGCTGAAGGCGGCGCTAAACCGCTAAGCCACCGGGGCTGCCCTCTTCCCAGTTTTTAATGCAATTGTTGTCACATACTTTACTAGTACTTGTGCTGCAAACCCCACAATACTTGATATTTTTAAGCAATTATCTTTTAAAGAGATGTAATAAATAATAAGAAGAAATTATATATGTTTATCCACACACTTAGATTTCTGGTGTTTTTGATCTTTTCTTTTTTAAAGATTTTATTTATTTATTCATGAGATACACAGAGAGAGAGAGGCAGAGACATACGCAGAGGGAGAAGCAGGCTCCATTAAGGAAGCCCGATGTGGGACTTGAGCCCATGAGCCAAAGGCAGACATTCGACTGCTGAGTAACCCAGGCATCCCATGGTGTTTTTAATCTTTATGATGTATATCAGTGATTGACACTTAGGGGTGATTTTGACCCTTGAGACATTTGGAAATGTTAGGAGACTTGGTTGTTACAACTTGGTGGGAAGTGCTACTGGCATCCAGTGGGGTGATGCCTATGATGCTGCCCCTGCAGTGATTTAAAAGAATGATTGGTCCAAAATAGCAGTAATGATAAGGTTGAGAAATGTTGGTTGTAGATCCTTTTTCTCATCTTGCATCATTTGTTCTCCTGTGTGAAGGGCTTCTTTACAATTCCCCATAGTGCAGTCCACTGGTCGTGAATCCCTTCAAGTTTTTATGCCTGAAGAAGTCTTTATTTTTCCTCTGTTTCAGTTCTAGTTTGACAGTTTTCAGTATATAAAGTTGTTTCTCCATTTTCTTCTTGTTTGCATTGCTTCCAGCAAGGCAGCCCAGGTGACTCAGCGGTTTAGTGCTGCCTTCAGCCCAGGACCTGATCCTGGAGACCCAGGATCAAATCCCATGTCAGGTTCCCTGCATGGAGCCTGCTTCTCCCTCTGCCTGTGTCTCTGCCTCTTTCTCTTTCTCTTTCTCTCTCATGGATAAATAAAAAAAATCTTTTTTAAAAAAAGAAAAAAGGCATTGCTTCCAACAAAAAGGCATCTACCCTTTTTCATCCTTGTTCCTTTACATTCATGTGTCTTCGTTGCTCTGTATGCTTGTAAGATTTTCTCTTTCACTGGGTTTGTGCTACTTGATTAGGATGTGCCTTGGTGTAGATTTCTTTGTGTCTCGTAGGCTTGCAGTTCATTGGGTGTCTTAGATCTGTGGGTTTATACTTCTCATCAAGTTTAGAAACTAAAGAGCTATGCTTTATTTCTTCAATTTTTTCTATTCCTCTCTCTTTTTTTTTTTTGTTTGCAGGGACTCCAGTTGCACACATATTGGCCACTTGAAGTTGCCCATAGCTCTCTGATGCCATCTCTGTTTATAAGTTCTGTTTTCCTTTCTGTTTCACTTTTGATATTTTCTATTTTTGTTGTCTTTGAATTTATGAATTTTTCCTTCTTCGATGCCTGATCTGCCATGAATACTATTCAGTGTGCTTTTCATCTCTGAACGTTCTCATTTTTAGCTCTAAACATTCCATTTAGGTTTTTTAAGAAAGTATCTTCCATGTCTCTTAACGTTTTGAACATACGAAATACATTCATAATAATTTTTACTGCTGTCATCTGTTAGTCTTAGCATTTGTGTTCTGGGTTGGCTTTAACAGATTAATTTTTTCCTCATTACAAGTTGTATTTTCCTGCTTCTCTGCAGACCTGATCATCTTTGATTGAATGGCAGACACTGTAAATTTTACCTTATTGGGTTCTGTGTACTTTTGTGTTTCTATAAAATATTCTTGAGCCTTACTCTGGGATGCAGTTGAGTTACTTGAAACAGTGTGTTTCTTTTCAGATCTGGCTTCTAAGATTTATTAGGTGAAGCAGAGCGACGTGTGGTCTCCGGCTGCTTGGTCCCACTGTTGAGACACAGCCTTGCTCAGTATTTTACCCAGTGTCTAATGAACTGTGCAACTTGCCAGTTTGACCAATGGGAAAGGAGACTCTACTTCCGGCCCTTTTTGAGCACCGGTACTACTCTCTTGAATCCTTTTGGGTGATTCTTCCCCAGCCTTGGGTGGTCTCTCACAACCACCCACTGATGGTGCTCTGCCAAGTCCTCCTTGCTTCTTTCCTATGTGACTCTCACCTGTAGTACTCTGTCCTGTGACTTCCAGTCCCTTTGGCTTCCCCAGACTCTCAGCTTGGGGAGCTCTGGGGCAGCCCCTGAGTGTTCCCCCTCTGCATTCCTGTCTGGAAACTCAGGGCAATAAGCTGGAGCAATTGTGACTCACCTCTTTGGTTTACTACTTCTTCGGGATCGCTGTTCTTTGTTGTATGAGATCATTTGCTTGGAAACGGTTTTCCTATGTTTTGTCTGGAGTTTTTTTGTTATTTCATGCAGGAATGTGAATCCAGTCTTATTACTCTCATCCTGACCACAGCCTGATCCTTCTGAGGTTTGTTTTTGAATCACAAGCTTTATTAGGGCTGATCTAGCCCAGCATTACTCTGGGACTGTTTTTCAGGGAGCCCCATGATCACCCTTGTAAGTCAGTGATTTGCTAGAATGAGTCCCCTAAGTCAGTGGCATGACTTAGGGCTAAAGATGATTACAACATAGGATACACAACAGGATCCAGAAGAAAAAGGTGTTCATGAGCGGAATCTAGAGAAATCAGGTGCAGGCTTCGGAGTCCTCCTCCATGATGGTCGCACAAAGACACTTTGTTTATAGCTGTGATCCACAGATATGAGAAATGTCTACCTAGGGAAGCCACTTGAGTCTTGGAGTCCAGAGTTCCTGGAGGGAGCTGGTCTGGGTGCCTGGGTGGCTCAGTTGTTGAGCGTCTGCCTTTGGGTCAGGTCGTAATCCTGGGGTCCTGCATTGGGCTCCCAGGAGGTAGCCTACTTCTCCCTTTACCTGTGTCTCTGCCTCTATCTCTGCGTCTCTCATGAATAAATAAATAATTTTTTAAAATTTTTTTTAATTTATTTTATGATAGTCACACACAGAGAGAGAGAGAGAGAGAGAGAGGCAGAGACATAGGCAGAGGGAGAAGCAGGCTCCATGCACCGGGAGCCCGACGTGGGATTCGATCCGGGGTCTCCAGAATCGCGCCCTGGGCCAAAGGCAGGCGCCAAACCGCTGCGCCACCCAGGGATCCCAATAATTTTTTTTTTTTTTAAAGGCACTGACCCCCTTGGCACATACCTGCCATTGAGCAGCTGTGGTGCAGATCCCAGAGCAGTCACTGTATGTGCATGATGCCTTCATCTGCACTTTCAACAGTGCTGACAGTCTGGGACATCCCCCTGCAGGCACACGGTCATGCCATCAGTCAGTGACGATGTAACATTAGATATCAGAGCTTAAGGCTCAGAAACATGGATTGGGTTCTCCCTGTTAGATTAGTAAAGGTCGTACAAATCAGACCTGCTGCTTTTGCTCTTTCCTGACAGGTAAACTTGCCTTGCTTCTGAAGTGTGTTGACACCGTCTGTGGGAGCTGAGCGTGCATGTCTCTTCATCCCTATGTCATACTGCTGACTTCATCTTGTCTGTGGAGACCATAGTATCGGCACCGGTTTTTGAACTTCCTCCTTGTATAGCTCCCCACTCTGCAGTATCTTCTTGCAGATTCCCTGCATCCATATTCTTCAGCAGTCGCTTTTGTGTCTTGAGCTTAGTAAGACCACCATTCTTTAGGAGCTCTGCCTCCCTCCCCTCCAGCCTGGGGTACCTCCAGGCAGGATGCTGAGGGTGTTGTGAGGCTCATGATCGTCTCTCCTGCCTGCTGTTCAAATATAAAAACATTTGTTCCAGATAGATCGTTCAGTTGGGTAGTTGTTGACACTGGCAGAGCTAGTCTACTTGCTCTGTTCTCGTTAGAAATCTCATGGGTTGATTGATCGATTTTATTTTTATTTATTCTTAAAGATATTAGTTATTCATTTTGAGATAGAGCATGAGCAGAGGGAAAGGAAGAAGCAGGTTCCTTGATGAGCAGGGAGCTCAATGTGAGACTCGATATCAGGACGCTAAGATCATGACCTGAGCAGAAGGCAGACCCTTAACTGACTGAGCCATCCCAGTGCCCCTGATTTACCAATTTTAAAACAAAACTAACTCACCCAGTTTCAAATACAGAACAAAGCAAAGGTAGGACATCCCCTGTAGTGCTTCCAAGTCCCACCACACAGGCCCACTGATAATGTTGGTAATGTCTTTTTTCAGGTTTTTTTCCTGTTTATATATAAGCCTTCCTAGTCATAAAAATAAAAACAGGATCATGCCATATATATTGTTCTTAATATCACATGCATTTCTTAATCAGTGCATCTAGAGATACTTCATTTTAAAAATGTCCCTATTGGGACGCCTGGGTGGCTCAGCTGTTGAGCGCCTGCCTGTGGCCCAGGGTGTGATCCCAGAGTGTTGGGATCAAGTCCCGCATCAGACTCCCTGCATGGAGCCTGCTTCTCCCTCTGCCCCCCTCTCTCTCCCATTCTCTCTCTCTATGTCTCATGAATAAATAAGTTTTTTTAAAAATCTTTAAAAAATAATGTCCCTATCAAGGGCTTCAGTATGGGTATTCCATAAATTCTTTAACCACTATCCTATTAATGAACATTTAAGTTTGCTTCTTATCCCTCCACAGTGTTGCAAGGGTACTTGTGCATGTGTCTTTGCATTCTGAGTGCTTCTGGAGAATAAATGCCTATAAGCAATAAAACTGGATTGAGTGATAGGTGCTTTTAAAGTTTTACTGGGTCCAGGGCTGTTCTACCTCACTGCCCATGTACACTTAGCAGCATTAGCCAACCTGCTGTCTGGTTGTATCTCATTTTTTATAGAGGACTTATAGAACACTGTCCTGGGTGAATTTGCTCTTTGAGTTGTTGGCTTTGTTGTTATTGTTGTGGGTTCATCTTTTTTCTATTTATCGGAATTCAGAATATTGTCTTTTGTTTATGGTTTATTTTAGAAGTTTTACATTTTTATGTGGTTATATCTTTCAGTCTCTTTGTGTTCGGATTTTCATTTCAAGCATATTATAAACCCTAGCTCTTGTTCTATTTTTGCTTTTTCTTGAAGATTCTATTCCAACAGAAATTTTTGTGTGCCACGAAGTAAGAAATTCACCTTAATTTTTTTCTCAAATAGACAATCATTTGTTCTGATACTATTTAGTGGCTAATTTAGCTCTTTTTAACTAATTTGAAAGTCGCTTAATCCTGTTCAGTTCTTATAACCATGGGTCTGTTTCATCAAGTTTTATTCCATACTAGGCCACTCCCCTTTAATTTCCCTCTTGTTATATTTTCAAATGCAGTAGGGCAAGTCTCCTCCCCCAAATTCTTTCAAAAACATTTTTGGTTATTCTTAAACACTGTGGGTAGTAAAAGCTTTTATTGATGTTAATAGGTAGTATTAATACTCTGTGTATTTTAGATCACAGAGATGGTGATGATGGTGATGAACTATGTAGCCAACATTGACTTAGCACTAGTTTTATGCCAGACCTTAAATAAGTATTTCATGTTGAACATTTCTTATCAATTTCTCACAGTAACCCAGTGAATGAGGCACTGTTTTGATGTTGATTTCAAAGAGGAAACATCAAAGTCATTCACGTAGCCCCATTGTTCTTTTGCCTTACTTCCATCAGTATTGCAAACTCCACCCCTTTCCTAGGTAAATGCTTTATGGCTAAGGAGAAATATGTTCGCTATTTCAGGAATCAGTGACCTTCAAGGATGTGATCGTGGACTTTACCCAGGAAGAATGGAAACAGCTGGATCCCTTCCAGAGAGATTTGTTCAGGGATGTGACACTAGAAAATTATACCCACCTGGTCTCCATAGGTAAGGATGATTTCTGAGTGAACATCCGGGTGTGGAGGAGGAGGGGTCTCTTGTGCTTATGTGAGTTTTTGCCTTTGATGAAGTTAAGGAACCTAAGATTCCTAAATTTTGAAAGGTTTTGAAAAGGTTTCTACTCTCCTAGCAAGTAGAAGTACAAACTAGTAATTTTTCAAAGCCCATATCGGTTCCCAATTTATTCCATGTTTGGGAATTTGTCACATCAAGCCTTTATGTGCTGTTCACTGCCATCAGATTTATCCCATGTAGCACTTTCCTCTTACTGTAGTCAGGAACCTTTTTTTCTCCTGTGAACAGGACTCCAAGTTTCCAAACCTGATGTGATTTCCCAGTTAGAGCAAGGGACGGAGCCATGGATCGTTGAACCCGGCATTCCAGTAGGTACTTTTGGAGGTAAGTAATGGATACCTGATGGATGAGTATCATTAACTCTAACCATTAGCTTGATAAGAGGGTTTTATGCCTGAAATATAGATGTACTTGCCTCTCTTTAGTGTCTCCTGTGGAGAAATGAGAATCCATATGGACTCTTGAGCTTTGTCAGAACACTAATGGTCTCCACGTACCTTCTTTTTTGATTCTCCTTTCAGAGGAGGTATCGTTCCTGCTTTTTTCTAAAGGCTGCCTCTTGACCTGGACTCTCGATTCCATCTTTTCCCACCTCTTAGTCCCTAATTATCCTAGTCTCTTAATTATCACCCACTTTTCAGCCCTTACAGTTTGTTTGTTTTGGATCTACAGGCTCTGTTGCTAGTACCTTCAAACAAATAGTACCCTAAATTTCCAAATGCTTTTACTCAATACTGTTCATCCTTTTGGCCACCATCCAATATGCCTCCTTGCTTTCCCAGCCAAACTCTACAAAAGTGAGTTCCATACCTGCAGTCTTCATTTTTTAAATCACTTATTCCTTAAGCTTCTGATCCTACAACTTGAAATTATGAATAACTTTATTGTAAACCATGAATTCCCAAACTGCACAGAGTTTAAAGATCTGACCCTGAAAAAATATACAAACTTAGTCACATTAGGCAAGGGATATATCTCCAGAATCAATGAGGTGGGATGGGGGTTCTTTTTTATGGGGAGAAAAAAAAGCACTCCATGTTCAAATTTGGGAAGTGCTGGGTTATCTAAAATTTTAGCAGGTTTCTTACTGAAAGACCACTCAGAGATTTCTTATATATATAATTGGGCATTATGAATTTCCAGCAGGGTTGCATTCTAACTCCCCCCACCCTCCCAAACATGAATCCTTCTTTTCATTCTTCACCTTTAAGATTTTAAGGTAAAAATTTATGGCTTTATGGGGAACACAGTTTAGAAAAGTGATTTTTTTGAGACGGATTAAGAGCTTTATTAAGTCATGCTTAACTTTTGGAAAAAAGTTGTCAGATTTTATTACAAATTAAAGTTTTAAAAATCCCAACTTGAACCAATAGAAGGCAATTTTAAAATATTTGTATATTAAAAAATCCTAGACTTTGCACAAAATGCTTTAGTCATTACCAAAAAGAGATTTATTTAGGTAAAAATAATACTAGACACCTCATGTTGTGTAGATAATAACATAGGTCCCAGTGATCTGGTGGGTAAGCAGAAGACAATCACTTAAATATTTGACTCCATTCTCTGATTTACTTTTTATTACTGGAATAGGACCATAGGATGGTAGTCTTGGTAAGCTAGCCCTTAGCCTCCCCTCTTTAGCATTCAGAGTGGACTTAATCTTAACTGCTGATCTGCTATTTTTAATCTCCATAAGAATAGTTTATGGTTTTACAGATATGTACAGGTAATTGGAAGTTGTCTGAGTACCTACATTGAGGTGGCTTGCTGGTCATGGGCCTTGTCTGTATCATTCTCCTTACCTTCCTTATGCCATCTTCTCTGGGCTATTGTGGAGACCTGCCCCCCACACACACATACACACAGAATGCAAACCTGTCACCCTGATATGTATTCTGTCTTATGGGTCTACTTTGGTCTTTTGCAGCCTCATTGTCAGCATCCTTTATTTTCCTATCCATAGGGGTGCTGCAATATTGTGGTTGATGCCCACAGCTTTGCATTAGTAAAGTGAGGATTCCTTTCAGCAGTAGGATTGGTGCTGTTCAGTCTGGCCTTCTGAACTCGCTCCAATCCTTTATTCTTTGCCCCACCACTGATCTCAGACATGACAATGTGGATACATTGGTCATGGTCTGTTGTGTTTGTTGCCTTCAACTACAGCTCCAGGGCTGGACACCCTTTCCCCCTTTAATGGCCTCAGACCCCATGGTCTCTGTGTTCTTCACTCTGAACTACTTCTGGGAGGTATTCTTTATGGCCATCTGCTGTACAAATATATCTTGGCATCATTCTATTAGTGAAAACATACCCATTTCTTATACTGAACAAATGGCCATTCCTCCAAACCTGTGCTGCACTAATTTGGTCTGTGCTGGAGAAGTACTGCTGTTAGGAGTCTGCTTGTGCCTCCCTGCATTGTGCTGGTACCTAGGGTGCCAGAATGGAGGGGGTGGGAAGCTGTTCCCCATCTGCCCCATGGTGCATGCTTGCAGTGATGATGGTGCTGATTGCCATGAGGTTGGCAGCATAAGAGATTCAGGGTTCTTTGGGATCTGCTGTCCTCTCCTGTCACCAGTGGAAGGAACCAAAGCCATGTGGTTTTTTCTTTACTGAATCTACTAGCATTGAGTCCCCTGCTTCTTTAGTTGTCATCTTTCCTGTCTTGAGCAACACTGCACTTCCTGGTTATGTGCCTTGCTGTCTTGTTTGTGTGCTGATGAACTGCTCACTTTCATTAGTATATTTTATCCAGCCTGCTGTTACCCACCTTCAGGAACCCCCCCCCCCGCCCGCCCCGCCACGTGTTCTTTCCTTGCATACATTCCTATTGCTTCGTCTATTCTTTTGCTCCTTTGTCAGTGCTGATCCTTCCTATCTGACATTTGAACATCTGGGTGCTTTTACTTTTGGCATCTTCCACCCCCGAAAACACCACTCCAGTCTAGTCTCTCTGTTCTCTTCTTAATTCTTGAAACATCTAGAGTTGAACTTGTTCTCTTCCTCCCGTAAAGTCTGTGCTCTGGGTACGCCTTCTGCACTTCTGGCAGAGATGTAGCTGTTCCCTCTGTTTCAGGGTCAACCGGGTCTTCCATAGTTGTCCACACTTGAAGTCTTTGTCTCAGGTTTCTGTTTTGTGCACATTGGCAAGGAGTCCTGTTCACACTGCCAGCCTTAGTCTGCCAGTGTCCCTAGCTGTCTGCCATTGCTCTGGTCAGTTTTTAATTTATTACTACCTTCCTGGTTCTCAGAGATCATCTATAAACTGAGTGAGACATTCTCTTGCCACTTTCATATTTTATTTATCATTATCCTTATCTCTTTCCAACTTTTTCCCCAAATAATAGGCTATACTTGAAAATCCTCAAGATTTCCTAAGAGCTTTACTCTCAGTTTTGTTAGGTCCTTCTAACAAAGGCAATTATTTGTTCGCCTTGCATTTAGAGAATATAGACATTTTCTTTTTCTTTCAGACTGTGAGACAAGACTACAAAATAGCGTATCAGTCCCAGAGCTGGATGTTTCTGAAGAGCAGCCATCTGAAGAGGCAATCGTGGAAAAACACAAGAGGGATGATCCTTGCAGTTCTAACTTTTTAGAAAGTTGGGAGTATGAGAGCATTGTAGAGAAGCAGCAGGCAAACAAACAGACCCTGGCAAGAGAAATAAAAATAACTGAAAATAAAATACCTACCTGGGAGAGAGGCCCTGTAACTAATGACTGTGAGAAAAGTATCAGTGTGAGTTCAAACCTTATAACACAAGAAAAATCTCCAGAAGAGACCTCTACCAAAACAAGTGTCAAACAGAATATAAATCCAGTTAAAAAAGAGAAAACTTGTAAGTGCAACGAATGTGGGAAAGCCTTTAGCTACTGTTCAGCTCTTATTCGCCATCAGAGAACACATACTGGAGAGAAGCCCTACAAATGTAACGAATGTGAAAAAGCCTTCAGTCGGAGTGAGAACCTTATAAACCATCAAAGAATTCATACTGGAGATAAACCATATAAGTGTGATCAGTGTGGGAAAGGCTTCATTGAGGGTCCATCTCTTACTCAACATCAAAGAATTCACACTGGAGAAAAACCCTATAAATGTGATGAATGTGGGAAAGCCTTTAGTCAGAGGACCCATCTTGTTCAGCATCAGAGAATTCATACGGGTGAGAAACCATATACTTGCAACGAGTGTGGAAAAGCCTTTAGCCAGAGAGGCCATTTTATGGAACATCAGAAAATTCATACAGGAGAAAAGCCTTTTAAATGTGATGAATGTGATAAAACCTTTACCAGGAGCACACATCTTACTCAGCATCAGAAAATTCATACCGGGGAGAAGACCTATAAATGTAATGAATGTGGAAAGGCCTTCAATGGTCCCTCAACATTTATCCGTCATCACATGATCCACACGGGTGAGAAACCATATGAGTGCAACGAGTGTGGGAAAGCCTTCAGCCAGCACTCAAACCTCACTCAACATCAGAAAACACACACGGGGGAGAAACCATATGACTGTGCTGAATGTGGAAAATCCTTCAGTTACTGGTCGTCCCTTGCTCAACATCTGAAAATTCATACTGGAGAAAAACCTTACAAATGCAATGAATGTGGAAAGGCCTTCAGTTACTGCTCCTCCCTTACTCAGCATCGGAGAATCCACACCAGAGAAAAGCCCTTCGAGTGCAGTGAATGTGGGAAGGCTTTCAGTTACCTCTCCAACCTTAATCAGCATCAGAAGACACATACCCAGGAGAAAGCCTATGAATGTAAGGAGTGTGGAAAAGCCTTTATTCGGAGTTCATCTCTGGCTAAACATGAGAGAATTCATACAGGTGAGAAGCCCTATCAGTGTCATGAGTGTGGGAAAACCTTCAGTTATGGCTCCTCCCTTATTCAGCATAGGAAAATACACACTGGAGAGCGACCTTACAAGTGTAATGAATGTGGGAGAGCCTTCAACCAAAACATACACCTCACACAACATAAGAGAATCCACACAGGAGCAAAGCCTTACGAGTGTGCCGAGTGTGGCAAAGCCTTCCGGCACTGTTCATCTCTTGCTCAACATCAAAAAACTCACACAGAAGAGAAACCCTACCAGTGTAATAAATGCGAAAAGGCTTTCAGCCAGAGCTCTCATCTGACACAGCATCAACGAATTCACACTGGAGAGAAGCCCTATAAGTGCAATGAATGTGACAAAGCTTTCAGCCGGAGCACACATCTGACTGAACATCAGAACACTCACACGGGGGAGAAACCTTACAACTGTAATGAATGCAGGAAGACTTTTAGCCAGAGCACATACCTCATTCAGCATCAGAGAATCCATTCAGGAGAGAAACCTTTTGGCTGTAATGATTGTGGAAAAGCCTTCAGATACCGGTCTGCTCTCAACAAACATCAGAGACTGCACCCTGGCATATGACTCTGAGGAAGTCTGGTTTGTCCTTTTGTTAAGTACTGAAGAACCAGAGGAATTGAGAAAGTGCTTAAAATATTTTAACTTTTCACTGTCACACACTGTCACACAATGGAATGGAAAGGACATCAGGCTGAAGTAATCCGATTATGTTTTTAAGCAACTTTATGACATTGGAAAATTCAGCTGTTTTAAGGTTCAGTTTGCTCTGTGAATGAGGGGTTTGGAGTAGATGGTTTCAGAAGTGGTTTGGAGTTTTATATTCCAGTTTTGAATATTCACAATATATTCTTGATCAGGGTTACTATACATCAGCATTTTCCTATGTTGCATCTAGAGTGTGTGTATTTATGCATGTTTTGCTAATAGAAAGCATTTGTGCTTCAGTAACTAGACTGAGGATCTATTATGCTCCTGTTCTGATGCATTTAAGTTGATTTATTGGTTCTTAATAAAAATAATTGTAAAAAATTCTTAATTTATCAGTAATATAATAGTTCACCTCAGGGCAAGTATTAAACCTTCCTGTTAACTATCTCTTCTTAGCACGTTTTAACATTCTAGAAGTTCATCACAACTACAAAGATCCCCTTCCATAGCTAAACCAGTATTATTTAACTTTCACTGAATAGTGGAATCACTTCAAGAACTTTATAAAATTCTGTTGCCAAGGCCCCACCCTTGAAGACGTAATTAAATTGGTCAGGGGGTAGGGGCCAGGCTTTAGTATGTTTTTTGAACTCCTAATATGCACCTTGAAAGAACTGGAATAGATTTCATTATCCACTCCTTTAGTTGATAGCTGTGTCATGTGGCTCCTCCTAGGAGCCTCAGAGATTAGCTGTTGTACACATAATTTTGACTACCATCTTGTTTTGTAAGTTGGGTTCTCACAAGCTCTGGGAGGTAGGATTAATTTATTTCCTCACTGAAGTACAGAAATTCAACAGCTTTTTAAAGATCATTTTATTTGCTTATCAAATGCAGATGACAGGGTTAACGATGCCCGTGGCAGTGTGCAGCCCACAGCCTGTATGGCCAGTGGTGGCCAACCTGGTCAGGATAGCATGCAAGCCAAAAATCTGTATGGGCCAAGCACGGAAGAGAAAGGCCCCTATGTTTCCTTCGCGATCTAGTCTAATTATCAGACAGCTCTTTTCAGAGCAACTGACAATTTCCCAGCCTGGCCTTGAGAATGGAGATCTCTGAGAACAGAAGGTAGTACAGAAATGTTCTAGACTCTTCTACAGGGGAGGTTTTTGAGGAGGGGGTGCTGCAGATTTTCACAAGTGAAAATAATCAGTGCAGTCTTTGGCTTACCTAAATGCTAGCAACCTACACTGGAATCTTGTCCCCTCCTTAACTGAAGGTGCCAGACAGAAACAGATCAAATTCAGGAAGTAAAGCAGCTATTTCAAATCTCAGGACCTTTCTCCGTTGTAAGTTGAAACCACTGTAAAGGAATGTCATCTTGGTATTAATTTCTCAAGGCTTCCATTATGGAGGAATTACAGTGCTCCCACTGTAGAGATGTGGAAACCGGCAGAAAGGAGAGATCTCAGGATACAGGGCAAGGCCCTCCCACAGCAATGAAGTTTCTGGACTTGTGTGAAGGGTCTTCTCATTTCCAGAGGAGATCCCACAATGAAACACTAGAGGCCGTGTGGAATGGGAGACTCCTGTCCTTGTGCCACTGGTTACTAAATGAAGGAGTAGAATTTATGTAGAAATTTGTCATTAACCCAGAAGGATCCCACTTTGTTCCACTAATTTGATCTCTTCATAGATTTTGTCAGATCAGATCCAAAGCACCAAGGGTATGTGATCACTACCAAACTTAATTCTTTTCTGCCTTCCCTGTGCTTGCCTGTCCTCCATCTGCTCAGTTTGTAAATGTGCTAATAATCACTCCCAGATAATACAGGCCTGGAGAATAGAGAAGCAAGGAGCCTCCTGAAGTTAACATGACCTTGATATTTCTGTATCTTTTTGAGTAGCTCAAAAAAAACAACATCTCTATTAGTTGTCCCAGAATACATTCCAAGTTCCCCAGGTGGGCAGATTGGCAACTGCTGCTGCTGCTCAGACACAATCAATCTAATGCTACATGGTGGAGAGTGAAAGTGTTCATCACCTGACATGTCCCCTAGCCATGTACATTCTTCCCCCCACCCCTATTTTAAGAACTGAGAGAAATTAAAGTGGTTTCTTAGTCTTTTTTTTCTTGATTATATGCCACAAACACCTACTATAATATAACATGCTCTATCCCCATGTCAGTCTTCCTGCTTAGCGGTGAGTCTGCTTCTCCTTCTCCCTCTGCTTCTCCCCTCTCTTGTTCTCTCTCTCAAATAAACAAACTTTAAAAAACTTTGATGAAGCTCCTTGTCAAAAGCTTTTGAAAAGTTAAATCACATCATCAAGGCAAACTTCATTGCGCTGGCGTAACAGGACTGCCAGTATACCCTCAGTTGATAATAATAATAAAAGCAAATGATCTTTCAAAATGAGTGCCTATACTGTAATGATCATGAAGCAATGAAAAGTAGCATTACCATTTAGACCTGAAATTAAATACCCTGACCATCTGTAGAACTTCAGGTTTTCAGGTTTTAGCTTGTCTATACTATATACAGAGAGCTACAGCATTATCAAATGGATACCATCAGGCTCCCTAAACCTGATTCTTTTGGATGCCTGAGCCACTTCTCACCACCTTTCACTAGAGCTTTCCTCCTGTGGAATCAGACCCAATTCATTCTAACTCAATTTGTCATAAATGAATTAGAAATCAATGCATGACCAATTTGTTGAAAACTCAATTCGTCCATTTTACAAAAATAAATAAATAAATAATATATAATTATATAAATAAAATATACAGTTGGGTAAAGCAGGAAAAGAAATAAGCCATGACAAAAGTGGAAACATTGGGATTCATGAATTCTAATATTTTTTAAGAGTACTGTAAAATTTCAGCTAGGCAATTTTCATTTTTCTAGAATACAAAAACGTTGGAAAAAAAATCAATTTGGGGGACTAAAGATCATAAGGTAGTTTCATCTTCTAATCAGTTGTGCAAAAAAGACTAGACTCGGAGACCAAAAACTTCAGTGTAGGATTAGTACTCGGCATCTGATAGACACGGATCATTTTTTGCTAAGACACAATCTAGGGTGGTGCTTCTCAGACTTTGAAGTACCTATGCATCACTGAGGATCCTGTTACTGCTCTTCAGAAGGTCAGGGGAAAGGTCTGAGTTTCCAACAAGCTGCTGATCTAGGAAGTACACTCTAAAATAGTCCCTAAAGTGGCCTCTTCAACATGAAATAGCAAAGTTTTTGCTACGAATTGCTAGAAAAACAAACTTAGAGCTACAGTGTCATTTATGACATCAATAGAATGGCAACAGTATCTAGAGATTGGCAAAATGAAAAAATAACATTCAAAAATGTAAAAATTCAAAAGTAGCCTCCCAAATCCCATTACCATAGAATTTTAAATTTATAATTTAGTTGCTAGAAATACAAACTTTGAGGAATACAAACTTTAAGTGAATACTCAAAGTGACTTTGGGAGAGTGTATTCACTCAAATACAAACTTTGAATACAAACTTTGAGTGAATACACAAAGTGACTCTGTGGCTTCTGCTTGGAAGCTCCATCTCTCAGATCTTTCCTTGGTGGGAAACTCTTTTCCAAAAATAGCCATAGCAATATTTCCTAAACATTCTTCCAGAAAGGCTCTTCTCCCAACCCAGGCAGAGCTTTGTTACTGCCTCCTGAACAAAAAAAAGTAACCAGGCTTCCAGGTCTAGGTCAAGAAAGGAGAAGACTTCTCCATCCAGCTTCTCCTTCCACCCCAGAAACTGCCTGTTCATCCCCACTCTTGATCCTTTGTAGCATGTGCTACAAGCAGGGACACCCCCTTTGCCTTCTAGGCAGTAGATTTTTGGAGGAAGAGGTCTTTGAAAAATTTTACTTGATCTTTATTACTGTTTTCTCTCTACAATTCATGCAGCTGAAAAAGAGGACAGTATAAATACCAGACATCATGTGGCACTCAAAATCATTCTTTATTCAGCTCTTGATCCTCTATCCTTAGCATCTGATACAGATCCACCCTCACTTCCATAGCATGAACTCTTTGCCACAAGGTTCTTGACCCTTCATGTAGAAACTACTTGTAATTAAGAGTCTATTTTTCATTGCTGACTATTCACACATTTCAAGCTACCCCCACTCGCCCCCTTCTGCCTGATATCTGGGCAAGTCCTGGTGCTTCTTCCTTTGGCATCCTGAGTGGAGGGTGGTCATACCACACAATCCCTGGCTTACATGTGGGAACTCTCATCCCCGTCCATGCTAGGAACCCACCCCCTGCTATTTTCTTGCTGTAATCTCCCCAGAAAGTCTCATTCCATGGGGAGAAAAAACAAAAAACCCTTTCATACTATCTTGGTGCCTGTGTGCAGTCATCAGTCTTGACATCTGAACTGCATTCTGGGAGGGGAGATCCTCCATGCCTGCGTGGGGTGACCAGGCCACCACCTCCATCCAAGTCCTTGCAGGAACACAGCTCGGGGTTCAGCTGGCTCTTCATGCAAAGGTGTTAGGAATCAAACTGCCTGCCTGCAAAACTTGTGGCTATACTACAAAAACATCCTATAAAACTCAGATCACAACCCAGCAAACAGGTGTGATCTGAGTTTTAACAGTTCACACTGCTAAAGCACGCATAATTACTTTGCTCCCCGATCTTGCATTTTGTAGTCTACAAGTGCTGAGAGTGTGGGAAGTTGCTAAAGGTTTCAGAAATAGGGCAGAACGAATGTTGAGGGAAAAAGAAAAAAACAAAAATCCATTAACTTCTCTCCCTGTAAGCTGCAATTATTAAATTTCAGTGGTGCTGTATCTTTCCAGCTACTGGTAGAGAGGGGTTCCCAGGAAAAATAGACAGGTTTCTCTCTCTTGATCTGTCCCTGTGGAGAGGTGTGGAGAGAGGAGGGAAAGGGGACCAATAGGAACAACGGTGCAGTGGGATGGGACCTGTACTCTAGACACTGTGCTGGTCACAGCCTCTGCTTCAGATGGGCTTCCAGGTGCCTGAGCCACCTCGGTCCGGGACCAGCAAGAAAGGACCCAGGTTCAGGGCCCAGGGACAAGAGAACATGTCATCACCCAGGCCTCCCAGAAAGGCAGTTCTGAGCAGATCATTCTGGGGCTAGAAATGTGGACTCACAGTTCTGAGGGCTGATGGCCCTATCACTGCTCAAGAAGATCCAGAAACAAACGTGGGTCTGCTGGCAAAGGAGAGATTTTCAGGGCCCTCTTCTTGTCTGGTTCCTTACTCTCTTTGCCCCACCTCCAGGCAGAGACACAGAAGGAAACTGATGGTACACGCGAGCAGTTTAATGGAAGAAAAAGTAACCAGGACTTGGAACTAAACAAGGACAGTGGACACG